GGATTACATTTCAACATGAGATTTGGCGACGACACAGATCCAGATTATATCAGTTAATAACAGTACTTACCTCTGAGAGCCTCTGGGGAGAGAAAATGAATTAATTCCCATAAAGTATTTGGGGAGACAATAGAAGATATTGAGTAAGAATGGGGACTTTGCAGCCAGAGGCCTAACTAAGTGTGACTCCCACCTTCATCAGCCATTAGAGATGTACTCTTGGGTTGTAACCCTCTCAGCTTCTCTGAGCCACAAAACCCCTTATCTTTGAATTGGGGAAGTGAGAGCACCACTATTTCATGGAGTCATGGTGGGAGTGAAATGTAAGGCACACAAATTGTGAGGGACGGTGCACAGAAGTGCTTGGTTTTTGATGTGGATATTTGGATATTATTGAAGGGACGTGATGTACTCTCTCTCGCTGTCCCTTTCTTGGGTCATGGCCCTTCCTATTCCTTCTGCTAATCCACACACTGTAAAAAGCAAACTGCAGTGCCTTACCTAAGATCTCCTGACTCCTCCTGTAGCATGTTATCTGTGTCCTTGACAAGCATTAACCAGCTCAACTGAGGCCATGTGGGGACAGGAAACTGCTCTTCCGGGTAAAAGAAGCTTTGTCCATTGGTGTGCTGTGTGTGACATGACTCATATTTAACATTGAAGTAAGAGGTTTATTGTTTGTGAAAGATCCCAACGGGGTGTTGCTCTGAAAACACGTTTCTAATCATGGTTGATACAATTGCACCCTGCGTCAGGCAGCACATCATCTTCTTCAATGAACAGTGATGGTTTTAGGGACAGATTGCCTGGGTTGAAATTCAGCTTTTCATTTGCAAGCTGTGTTCTTCATGTGTTTTTCTTTACCTTTTAATCATCTGTTTCCACAATGACTATCTTAAATAATTGTACACCCCTCAAACTATAATTGAGTTTTAAATGGATTCATAAATAGCATACATCAGTGCCTAGGGTAGGATAAATGGTCACTGAAACAAAGCAACATTCCTTATAAAATGGCTAAGTATTAAGTGGACATACTGTGTTTAAACAGACTTTGTTTAATAAGTGGCCACAATTGGACATTGAGTAAAAATTACTTAAAATTGCAGTTAAAGTTGTAATGAGGAGTTTTCATTTCAGCCAAGACACACTAACCGGGAATGGAATTACCTTCCCACCAGAAACAACCCAAACCAAACAAAGTATATGAAACAGCTGTTTGCAAGGCATGGAACATCAGGCAAAGTAAGATGTTGGCTCCTGAAAGATGACACAAAAGCAAGGCAGGTCCTACAATTGTCCAGCGTACTACAGGGATAGAGTTTCCAGTACATCACACAAGGACGGTAACCAGACTCCCTTAGCTGAGGAGACAGAACTTAGGGTCTGAGAAGAGGAAGCTGGAGTTTGCAAGACAGAGTACGAGACAGGATATAGCTGCACACAGGGAATTTTGAAGAACGGCAGTGGGAATCCCTTGAGTATCCAGTCCAGCATTGATCAGTGCATGCATTGGAAGAAACCATTCAAGGCTGGGGAAAGAAGCACCTGAGAAAACCTAGAGAAAACAGCACCCAGCAATCACATAGTACTGGGAATAGTACTTGTCCCCACCAGCCACACAGGAAAACCTCATCATTGATTAGTTATTGGGTAGGGTACTCAGAAGGATCTTGCTCCATTAACAGGTATTAATTCATCACAGACTAAGTGCTATAGCAGTCTTACCGTACAAACCTTAAAAGCAAGACCCAATAGGATCAAATTATGTCCAAACAACTTAACTGCATCCCACAACAATGCTCAAGAAAATTTATAAAAATGCTAAAATATTCAGCAGCCAAGAAGATAAAAGTCATAGTATCTGATATCCGATCAGAAATTATTAGAGAATCAGAGGCAGAAAAACACAACCCATAATAAAGGTAAAAAATTAAATCAATTGAGACAGATCTAGAATAGACACACATAATAGAATTGACAGAAAAGTACAGAAAAGTTATTATAACTGTAATTCATTTTTCAAAAATTAGGTAAAGACATAGAATAACCTATGTTCTCACTTATAAGTGGGAGTTAAATGATGAGAACATATGGACACATAGAAGAGAATCCCCAAACCTAAAATGCAACCATATATATATATATATATATATAGTAATAAGTGTGTGTGTGTGTGCGTGTGTGTGTGTATATATATATATATATATATATATATATATATATATATATATATATATATATATGAAGAGATCAAGAGACACTGAGGCCTGTCAGAGGGTGGAGGGTGGATAAAAGGAGAGGATCAGGAAAAGTAACTAATGGTTAGTAGGCTTAATACCTGGGTGATGAAATAATTTGTACAACAAAAGCCCATTACACAAGTTTATGTATGTAACAACACTACACATGTACTCCTGAATTTAAAATAAATTCTTTTTTTTAAACCCCAGTATACCTGAAATTGTTTCCCTTCTCTCCCTTCTAGGAATGTCTAGACAGCAGAATTAACATGCCTCTCATTTGAGATGAAGGTGCACTTCAGGAATCTTGACTCCCAGGACAGGTTTCTTTCCCCTCCTTCATCTAAATCCAAGACTCTTTACTATAATGTCATGACCACGTGTTGGGTTTTTCCTGGGTAAATATGATACCTAGGCTCAGGATACTTTGATGATAAAGATCTTGCAATTTGGCAGGAAGAGCCTCAGATTAGAGGCCATGGTTGGAGATAGACCTGGGAGCGAAGACCTAGGCCCAATGGAACCAACTCCTGGAGGTTAAGATGCAGCAGCTCAGATCTCCGGATGATATCAAGGGCTACCAGACACAGAGCAGAGGCTGTGCTGGTCTCTGAGCTCAAGTAATACACCCTCACCAGTGGCTTTGGCAATTTAGCCTATGATGGACTTCACTTGGAGACTCTTAAATGAACAGCAGAATAGCACTCAGCTCAGAGAATTGAGACCTTGTGAGAGAAACAGGGCATAGAATCTAAGATCTGTAACCCTATGTGCAGAGAGACCTGCCCAACTATGAGATATCTGGTTTTTCAAAGAAACCTCCCAGAAAAATAGGTATTTATATTGGGCTGGGGTTCTCTTCCCTCCCATTCGTATTATTCTTGGTATTCCCTGAATATTCAAAATAACTTTTCTGATATTGTGTTTGGGAACAGGCAAGAGCCTCAGCTGAGCTTCCCAACCACATCAACTTTCACACCTCCAATGCTATTTTTAAAGCATTACTAAATGCTATAATAATTAGCATTTATCAACTGCCTAATAAATACCACCTTTTATAAATGTATCCTAATTGTTTTAGGTTAATTCTTACAAGATTTTTATGAATTAAAGAATAATGCCATCCCATTTAGCAGATGAGAAAATTGAGGCAGGGAGGTGTGTGGGGCAGCAGGGAAAACTCTGCTTTATGTAGTCATTTGAAGACCCTGATCTTTCTGCATTATAGCCCCATAACACACAGCTGCTATGGTCACCCTGGAATCTGGAATCTTGCAGAAGATTCTATGTCAGGCTCACATCATTTTCATTGGCCAGAATCCAATCACATGACCCCAACTTAACTGCAAGGGATGCTGGACAATGTAGTCCAGTCATGCGGCTAGCAGGAAAATGAAAGGGGTTTGGTGAAAGCTTGCTCTAGGTCCCAGACTTGGCAAATGATAGAGGATTTAACTCACACAGTCTGGCTTCCAAGCCCACACCCTTAACCACTGTACTCTGTAAGTTCTGATTGCTGAAAATTTCATATTAAACATCGCAGTTTTGCTAGGATATTTCCCCGATGACTCCTCTAGGATAGACAACCTAAGGTTGACTATCCCATGGTGTTCATGGAGGGCACATTTACCTAAAATCTGCATCTTCCACTGTTGCAGATTCCCTCTATTCTCAGTTTATGTTTTCTTCTTATTCTGTATACTCACTGTTTTGTGGATGCACCTCTAACATTGTCCTTTATCCCTCACCTATTTTGAAGACTCTCAGGTAATTTTATCATTCCTTTCAGAGCACAGCATGAGTGCCTCATCTCAAAGATACCATAGGATGATAATCTACCAGGAGTCGCATGAAATGGAGAAAACGCAGCTTATTTCTCTCTGAAAATAGGAGCGATTCCTCATTATGAAACTATTAGGATTGTGTGGGGCACACATGAAACTGTGCCCCCAAAAGCTAAATAAACTAGTAGCTAACAGAAATTATTGAGGTTGTAGGATGGCAGATAAGGAAAGAAACAACTTGCTGAAGCACCGAAATCCCACTTTTGAGATGAAAGAACTGACGGAAATCAGATGGAACCAATATGGATGACTGGAGTTTGCACAGGACGAGCTTACTGACATCACAGCCTGAATTTTCACTGCATGGTTCATACTAACTTCCCCTGCATTTGCACGAGTTAGCATAAAAAGATAATTGTGCATGCCCAAGGACTTTCCAGACCTCCCCTTTCCTTCCACCAATTACCTACTAATCTCAGAATCCACCCTGTGAACCTTTTCTAATAAAAACTAGCACAGGTTTGAGCTTCACTCCTGCCTCCTTGTGAGTCAACTTGCAGTATAAAGCTTTCTTCTCAGAAACCCAGAGTCATATTTCTGGCTTTCACCACACTGGACAGTGAGCCCCTTTTGCTGTATAACTCACATGGGCACCTTTCTCTCTCCCCTATATTTCTTTCTGCCTCTATTAGTCACAGTCTACTGACTGATGTACCAACCCCCAAATGACAGTGGTTTTCATCAATAAAGGTTTATTTCTTCTTTGCATTACAATCCCAAGTGTGGGGGGTGGTGGGAAAACCTCTGCTGTATGTAGTCATTTGAAGATCCTGGTCTTTCTGTATTATGGCCTCATAACACACAGCTGCTATGGTCACCCTGAAATCTGGAATCTTGTAGAAAGTTCTACTGCCAGACTCACATCATTTTCATTGGCCAGAACCCAGTCACATGACTCCAACCTAACTGCAAGGGATGCTGGGCAATATAGTCCAGCTGTGTGGCTAGCAGGAAAATGAAAGGGGTTTGGTGAATCCATTGTACCTGCCATCACCCAGACTAAATACCTGCTTTCTCATCCAGTAATTATTATACTCCCTTGTCTCAATTAAGGGTCTTCACCCATGGATGGTTCATTTTATGGGTAGATATGACTCCTTGGCATAAGGCTCAGTGGACTTGGCCTGTGAGCCAGCTCCAAGCAGCTGCCTGTTTTTGTCGTGTCCAGCTGTCAGGGATTGAGTGGGCAAGTACTGTGGGCTACAGACACCAAGCTCCACCCTGAATTCCCCTCTACTCCCAGAAGCTCCATCCCAGCTGGCAGGCTCACAGCACTGCAGCCCAGCATTTGCAGCGGTGAATAACATGGAAATAGCAGATGGGGTGGGGAAAGCAAGAGTTTTCTCTTTTGTACTTACATCTGCAGTTTTGCCTCTTCTTCCACAAAGTCTAAAATACACACTAACTGGTCCTTTACGAGAAAGTGTTTCTAAACCTCTGTCATGGAGAGACAATTTTCATCTTTGGAAATTGGAAACTCTTACCCTTATTTTGTTGGCTAGTTTCCTGCCTTGAAGTTTGTCCTGGGGTAAAGTGTGGGAATGTCAGAGGCTTCTGAAGGAACCCCTAATCCACTTTTACTGACAAATAAAATGAATAGTTTCAGTCCTGTTTGGGCACTGTTGGTAACTGCCTGATTGAAACTGGATTTCTATTAATCCAGACACTCTAGGCCAAAAAAAAAAATCATATAATTGATGCACTTAATTTTAATTTCATCACACACACATACAGCCATATCATTGCCAGAATGAATACTATTCATTCAAAGCAGCCAAGAGTAGAAAAGGAGAAACACCCACAACAAAATTTACACACTTTTATTTAAATTTACAATAAGATTAACTAGTTTCTCACATTTCTTAATGGTTGGAACAAAAAAAGAGAGGAAGGGGCAAAAAATTAGTTGTTTCAGTTAATGTGTGAATAGTTGGTATTTCTGTTTCAGAATGACTTGTGCAAATTTGGGGAATGGTGAGAAGTGGTAATATTTAAAAAATTAAGAAGGAAAACTTACCTTCATCCACACATTTGGAAATGCAGACTCCACTTACTATTCTCATAATTATTACCAATATGTAGTGTTTGTCAGATCCCAGTAATGGGACAGGCAAAAGAAAGAAGTTGCTCTGAGAATAGTAGCTACCATGGAGTTTGGTATTTTACTGAGCCAGGTGAGTCTGAGGATATATATAAAATACTTTCGAACCTGAAACAGGAATGCTGAGTTGAAGGACCTTCTGCAAATCAGATCAGGATAGAATCAACCCAAGTGTATGGTTGTTAGTTCATTTCCCTTCCTCTCTTCTTTCTGTCTTTGTTTTCTTTTCTTTTTTCTTTTAAAACAATGTAACACACAGGTAGCCACGGGTTTGGTTGATCCTACTCCTTAGTTTGGACCCTAACACGATCGTTCCTGCCAGGCCCTTTCGTTTTTTACCCCTCTCTCCTCTATCATCACCCCTTCCTTGTGGAGGTACCCATGTGCTTGACGTATGCCCTGAATCTTTGCATAGTGTATAATTATGATTTGTCTATACATGTGTTTTAAATTCACAAATATCGCACTGTGACCTAGATCTATATTCCCCTTAGTATTATATTTTAAAGAGTCCTCTGTGCTTCGCCTGGTAGCTCTGGTTTATTGTTCCTATTGGTTTCCATGAATGAGCTTCTGTTTCCTTCTCCTCTCTCTTTCCACCCGCCTTCCCACAGTGGTCCGTGTCCCGGTAACAGCTCATTCCACTTTGTTCGTATAGCTGTCGCCTTCAAGGGTGGCTTCAGTGCATACAGAAGACTATCTGTGACTCCTTGCCTTTTAAATTAGTAATCAAAATATTCAAGTCAATAAAATACCAAACTTAAGATTTTCCATAAGTGGTTATGTTCAGCTTACAAGTCTTAATATTTCTATTTGCAAATCTATTTGAAAAAAATTTTAAGAGAATTTTGAAAGCTTTAACTAAATTTCTTTAAATAGCTTAAACTGTATTTGTAAATTAAATATGTCTACTATCTTGTTAAGCAATTCATATGCTATTTAATAAGCAAAATGATCTTAAGTATTTAAACAAACCTAGAAATATAATAAATAAATGTTGTTTTTACATTCTATTATTGATTCTGTATTTAGATAAATTTCTTATGCTTTTCAACTTAAAGACAAAAGTCAAAACTTGATTTCTAAATTGCATTTTAACTGGAAAAGAAAGATGAATCTGTAACCTAATATGACAAATTGTCTTAACAATTACAAATGTTTTAAGTACAAAGAATTCCCCAATTACTCCTTACCTTAGCAAATAAATAAAATATATAGATTTGGTATAATAATAAAATATATAGATTTGGTATAATTTATCATCTGTTTTGTTGATTCTAAACTTTCCTGAGCTTAAAGAGATAATAAGGAAATCATTTTAATATTTCCAGAAAATTGGCATTACTATCCCAGGCCAATTGAAATTTATTCTTCAAAAACGTTACCTCCTCAATGGGATTCAATGAGCTAGAGATGACAGATTTTCAGCTGGGAGCAGCAGATACACTGGGTGATTTTCTCACCCCCTGGACTGCCTTGTTAGGCCTTTTAAAGGTTTTATTTGTCCCTGTTTCAAAGCGCAATGACCTTACAGGACAACGTCCTGGATATCAGTCCTATGTTCACCAGTTCTGACTGGAGTCAGACCTGCTCAGTTGGTTCAGCCCTTCGTGAGACTGATGTATTAGCTACCGATTTTCTTCTGCACATTTTCCATATTCTTTTCTTCCTGGCAGGGCACTGATCTCCCAGAGACTGAGAAAAGCACGTTGGCATTCTGCACAGTTTTTGTGTTTCCGTCTGGCTCTTTCGTTTTAGGGTCTAATGCCATCAAGGACACACACCTTCCAGTATTCCTGCCTCAATGCTCAATTAATTGAATTAGCTCTGCTGAGGCCACCCTAGTTCACGTTTACTGACAAGTCAAATACATATTTTCAGTCTTGTTTGGGCACTGTTGATAATTGCCTGATTGCAACTGGACTTCTATTAATCCAGGCTCTTTGGGACAAAAAAATCATACAGTTGATACAACTAATTCTAATTTCATTGCACGCACATACAGTCATAAAAAATAGTCATTCCGTGCATTCAGGAGTAGAAAAGGAGGAACGCTCACAACCAAATTTAGGTGGTTTTTTAAAAAATATACATAAAGACTTAGAAAAAACTTTTAGGTCTTTGAACATTCAGTACCAAATTCAGTTCCACATTCATTAAATTTTCTTAGAGAAATTAAATGACATTTTAAAATGGCTCTTCTTGTCTTATTACTTAATAAATCCTAAATAACAGACAGAACACATAAAATGTCAGTTATTATAAAATGTATTACTATAGTTCCATTTCAACATATTCTAAACATCATACAATTGACACCATTAATTTTGTCACACTTACACACCACCATGTGATTAACAGAATAAGTAAAATTTGCACACACAGTCTCAGGGAGACACACACACAAATACCCCACACTTATTTCAATAAAAGTAACTTATTAAAGTCTCTCTTTTGAATCCTTTTTTTCCTTTGTATATAATTCACTCACCATCTTTCATTAACCCAACTTATTTCAATAATTCATTGCTGTGAGTTTTGTTTTTAAAGCTTAAGATTTGAACAATTGGGCTCATAAAAGTCTTTTATTAAATTTATCTGCCCCTTTAGCATTCCTATTGATATTTAAAATGTATTCTTGGTTTCCAGCAATATCAGCAAATTTCTGCCACCTTCTGAATTTATTTTTGCCTCAAGGCTTAGAACCAGCCAGTCTCCAATGAGTCCTGGATTCTTCCAGCTGAGTTAGTTTTAGAAACCAGGATCTCGAGATCCAAAGGGCATTCTGTCCAATGGGTTTCTGTTATTCTTTGGCAGTGTTTAGATATTGATTTTGGTTAAAGGTTGACCTTGATAATTCAGATTTAAGATACTAGATTTATACCCAACTCTTCTTTATTGCTTACGGTTTTCTCAGCCACCAGGCCTCTCTCTGACTTCAGCTACCATCCTCTTATTCCTGTATGGTTCCTTGGCCTCTGCCTGCCTTCTGCATGAGCCTGTTTCCTGAGCGTTGGCTCGTTTGTTGATTGATTAGTTGGCTGGCTGTTTGTTGTCTCAGCCAACTGGTCTTCTCAATCCACACACTCTCCTTTGATATCTCACCCACTTTTATGACTTTTTTTGTTTGTTCGTTTCAGCTACTCTCCCTAGGCTGACGACTGCCACATCCTTCCCGAGGCCGACTTTCCTCTGAGATTCAGATGTGTGTCACCAACTAGAGAGCAGACTTGGAATTCAAAAAAAAAATCTTTCAGTAAGTAGAGATATTTTCCTTCATGTAGACAAATGATCACTTTGATGGAAATCCTTTGCTTACTCAAACCTTTGTATTGCTAGAAGAAGAGATTTTTGAAAACCCTAGTAAAGTCCAAAAGAAAGAAAAGAAGGAAGGAAGCAGAAGGAATTAAGGGGAAGGAAGTGTTCAATAGGATGACCCACTAAAACACCATTTCAATGCCCTTTCCAGTGAGAAAAGCTGATGCTGAAATTGTAATGTTTCGTTACACAGGAAGCCACAAATCCAAATTCAAACTCAATGATAAAGTGTTTTCTGGGCAAATTACTTAAACTCTCTAATCTTCAGTTTTCTTTTCTATAAAGTGATGATGCTAACATATGTGAAGTTATAAAACAAATATGAATAAACCTAACAAAACAACAAAACACCTGGCCCTTAGCATGAAACATACCTTTTTTTAAGGTAATCAGGGAATGAATTCATTGTTGACATACACCTGGGAAGTGGGTGTATGGCCCTCTTCAGAACTGGATGTTGCTCTGATGAGTTTAAAACCTTAAAATGGCCGTTAAGAAAGATTGGTAATGAGATGTAACTAAAAGTGAATGGCAGTTTTGATAGTCCAAAATGTAAAGGCTGTATTACTTATGATTATCTCAAAATAGTACATTTAATCAGTGTACTTTAGCCCCTAAGATATTATAAATGCAAAAATATTTCCTTTATGTGTACTGACAAGGCTAAATATTAGAAAAATGGTTTTTAAAATCAGAGTTGACCCATACAATTAGTTTTTTTTCTTTTTTCATGATCACATAAATAATAGTCTGGGTGCTACCAGGTGATTGAAATCAAAACTAGAACATCCTCACAATTAGACCCTTTGTTCTACCTCCTACAAATCTGGAAAAATAGTAGGAAGGGCTAATTTTTCCATTGAGTAGTGAATCTGTGAAAATGCATTGTCTTTCAAGTTTCTACTGCTAAAGTTTGAATTTAGCAAAAGGGGGATTTAGATAAATGAATAAGGATACGCAGGGAAACGTCCTTAAACACAGTTCAGAAAGCATTAGTTTATGGAGTTTGCTTCAAGAATGCTCTACTGCCCAGTCCTCAGCCCCTTGCTGCAACTGCAGTCCTAGGCTGTGCTAGACACAGTCAGGGAGTCGAGATCTGTGGAACATGTGACATTCATGGAATAATAGAAGTGAATGTCAGATTTAAACTTCAGTCAATAGCCAGTATCAATCCTCATGGATATTTCTGAGAAGAGAAAGTTTTTACTTTCTCTATGAGGGTAGTAAAAGACCCTGAATGAGAAAAAATGAATTCCCAGTGGGGTCTTTGTTTTCCAGTGGAGGGGCTTCTTCTATATGCCTCTTTCTGCTTGCTTTGACTTTGGTCGTATGGAAGAGGGATGAGGCAGGACTTCCAGGAGATCCTTCAATCAACCCCTGGTGATGTCACAGCTAAACGTGGAGCATTGCACCAGGGAGGGTCCTTCGAAAGCTCAGAGAATGGCAGATGATACAAACACCTGTGTCTGTAGAGGGGAAAGGTAAGGCAGGCAAACGTGAGCAGAGATTCTGGGTAACACACCCCTGAGAGGCTTTCAATATTAAAACAAGTAAATCACAAAAAGATTAAAATATGTATTTTCTACCTGTGAAACCAAAATAGAAAATGAAATTGAGGATTAATTTAAAAAGTACCAAACCTGAGAAGGTTTTATTTTCATTGCTTTTCCCTTTTTGGAAAGCTTTCTCTGAACATAATATTGAACTTAAGGCTTAGCACCGTTAAGTTCAGTTTTTAGAAATGATAATTGTATCACCTAAAATATTGAAAAGTAGAAAGATCTGGGAAAAAACCTACATATAAAGGGCACAAAATCTGGAGTCTGAGGGTCTCCCGTGTTGATTTAAGATTCATTTCATAAAGAGTTGCTTAATGAGGATAATTCCTCACCAGGGACTTGGTTAAATTAGATTAGTTACCAGAGATGGAGTAAACACTTAGGATACATCTCAGCTAACATTGGTTTCACTGACATTGAGAAAAATGCTAACACTGGGAGCAGACGGCTATTGATTCTGTCTCTGCCACTAAGGCTTTGTCACCAGTTACAGCACACTGTTGTGTCGTTTTCTGTTCTCCCAGCAATAAGCCATCCCCTGGTAGGTTAAATTCCAAGAGTAAATACAGATAAAACCCAAACTAATCTACTGTTGTATAACTGCAAAATTAAATGAATTAAAGAGAACCTCAAGCAACATGTGTAAACTTATCTCATTCCTCCCCGGCATCTGTCCATGCTCCTGGGATCTCAAAACCTAGACTAAGTTTAGTCTAAATGAACATGCCTTCTCTCTCAACTGCCTTGCACAGTGCCTCTTGCATAGTTGTTTGGTGCAGAGTTAATGAGTGAATAAATGAATGACTTAAATATCTTTAATCGAGGTACTAGCTGATTTTTATGGAGCATTTAGTATAAGTCAGATACTGTTCTGCTGTTGAGCAAATATTGTCTTATTTCATTAGCACAAGAATTTTGGAGAGTGTAACAAAGTAGGCTCTATTCATGCTATGTACAGCAGCTACTGAGCACAGAGACATAATAAATGAACAAGGGGTTATGAAGCATTACCATATGCACTTTGTCTTACAGATTGTTAATACTTGAATTAAAAGGAGGAAGGTCATTAGACAGAAACTGTTGCTAAAAGTGACAAGCAACTTAGCAATGCACATTAGGAGCAAAAATTATAATTTATGCTATATATTTTTCTATGCAGGCAAACTTGAGATAGAAGGAAAAACAAATGGCTTAAAATAAAACAAAATCCTTGAAAAGTGTAAGTCTCTGACTTCAGATGTAACTTCAGTATGAACCAGCTGCAGAGCTGCATCCTGGGGCCCAGTGGAGTGGGGAGGTTCACAGTGGATTGCTATTATTGTGTGAGTTGGGATGAATTCACACTTGTATCTCATAAGGCAGGAACTTCCTCACCTAAAGAAAATAATAAGTGAATTCATATCCTTGTAAAAATGAGAGTAAGTATACCCAATAAGCAACACAGATGCCATGGTATTTTATGGCAACTATGTAAGTGTATATTAAGTGGCTTAAATCTTCAGGCAACCCACAGGGAGCCATGCTCTCATTTGGGGGTAAAGTGAAAGAAGATACTTAGTGAAGGTGTGGCCTTGCAACCTGCTACTTTCAGTGAGAGTCAACCAGTGTGGACCACAAACAGCCCAGAGACATCTTGCCTGCTGGGGAACCTATCAACAGGTGGCCACGGCTGCCTCTTTATCTATTTTTCTGGCCATGAATTCAGAGGCCATAAATGACCCTGGCACACTCCCTAGCTCCTTGTGTTATTTCTGGAAAACCACCTTGGCACCTGCGTCTCGTGATTGACACCCTCCACCCAGGCAGCCACAGCCTTCTGCTTGGGCCTTGGGTCTGCTAGAATCTGAGTGGCAGTCTCTTGAGATACCCCAAATTCCATTATTAGTAATCTTTTAGATTAAGCGTTGCCTTTTCTGGTCTTCTCTTTCTACTCTTCAGAAGCAGTAAGAAGGTTGTTTCTTACCTAGTGGAATTTGTTGACCACTAATTACTGCTAAAAAACTTAACCTTTTCCCAAGGTTTTCAACACCTCTTTGAAATCCCTCTTCAGGCTGAGAACAACTGAGAGACAAACTCTCTTCAAGGAATTTTCACAGATGAAATGCCCTCAGTTTTGTGGGGGGAGGTGGGACAATAAACACCCATTGGAGAGCATGCTGCAGGCTGGTTTAACATTTATGATATCAGCTCAATTAAAATTTATGTCTTAGCTTTTACATTATGGCTTCCTGAGGGGATAAATGCCTTGAGGGCCTCTAAACACTTTCTTTCTTCACTGGTGTTTCTTCTCCCTCCTGAAACTGGAATTCTAACAGCAACGTCCTAGCCACCATCAATAGGAATTACAGATAAACCTGCAACTTGAGCGCAGACACCACTGCTGAAGGAGTTTAAGTGGGTGAAATGGGAAAATACCAATACAAAGCCATAAAGCAATGGCTGAAATACCAGTGGTTGACATACTCTCCTCAAAGGACAGAATATGGTTATGACACCAGGGGACTTTAAATATGTAATTACGGCTCTAATCTTAGGCTTCCTAGTGTCAACTCTCAGCTACCCCAGAAATACCATCAGACAAACATGTTGATGAAGTAAAGCTGAGTTTTTATAATCGCTGCAGCAAGAAAACCTCACCTTGACTGAGTGTTGGTAATCTCTCAAAAAGGGGCTGATAACGTAAGCTATGTGTCAGGTCCTGGGTCTTGTGGTGCAACAAATGACTGGCGATCTGCGACCTTGGAAGAAAACACTGTCTCTTCTGAATTCATTGAGCTATTTTGACCATGCCTAATTTTCATATTTGTGCGGTCTTTAGAAGCATACGGCAGTGTAAGGTGTGACCTCTCTGATTGTTTCACTTTCTGCAGGATGCTCTTTCTGTCTGTTTCTTTCACAAGGAATAAAAGCATTTTTAGGCTGGGCGCGGTGGCTCATGCCTGTAATCTCAGCACTTTCGGAGGCCGAGGTGGGTGGATCACATGAGGTCAGGAGTTCAAGACCAGCCTGACCAACATGGTGAAACCCCATCTCCACTCAAATACAAAAATTATCCAGGCATAGTGGCACATGCCTGTAATCCCACCTACTCAGGAGGCTGAAGCAGGAGAATCACTTGAACCTGAGAGGCAGAGGTTGCAATGAGCCAAGATTGCGCCACTGCACTCCAGCCTGGGTGACCAGCGAAATTCCGCCTCACTTCCCCCTTCCCCACCCCACAGACACAAAACAGCGTCTTTAATGTCATCCCACCAATGTAATGTTAGGTCTCCTTGGATAAAATGTTATTTATCCTTCTTCTGCCCTAGAAGAGCTGTTTTTGCTTTCACAGCAGAAGACTAGAAAGGGAAATTCTTAGTGTAAAGATCTTGTTAGCAGTGGGAGTTCAGGCATTTTGAGAGGAGACTGCTCAGCTCACATAGATACAAGACCTAGGCACCAAGCCAAGGCTGTAGGATGGAGCACATCAATCTTGGGGCCATCTGCAAAAGGTGGCTTTGGTGGATTAATTGATTTGAAGTGGCTCTTTCCATTCCCCTGTTCCTTATTTCTCCTTCTCCCACACATGTGGGAAAGAAACTTATTTCCCCACAAGATTTCCCCAAGCAGAGAACTGGCTATCTCCAATTTCTCCAATTTTAGCACTTACACAGAAGCATGATTCTTTTCACTGGAAAATTCACAGGGCCATATACAAGTAAAACAATCCATTTCAAATGCAGAAAAAAAAAAAAAGCCCCTTAAAGTGAATCTTAGAGGCATAAACAAACTTCTTTTGTTTTACTTGTATATGATCCTTCACTTGTATATGTTTGTTGTTTACAACAAGCAGATATTCTGAATAATATAAACGCTGGATTCTGATGGTTGCCTACCCCCCCAAAAAGTGGGGCTCTAGGATGCAGCATTTTGTGTAGTGTCAGAAGCTAAGTTGATAGACTCAAAATCAGAAGTTTTCTCTCCTGTTCCTTATGGCTACTGGCTCTTCAGAGAGCCCAGCTGAGAATCGGGTAATCTTTAGGGCTCTCAACAGGAGTGGAGAGGAGGGTGGTGAAGGTAGGGGCTGACATTTTTACTTGTCCGCGCCCATCTGGGAATTTTCTTGCTGATAGAATCTTGACATGACTGCAGTGCAACATGCCCACCCACAGTACATAGATTCTGACTGGCCACAGCTGAAAATCATGGCCTTCGTGATCCCCTTTATCAGGTACTGGTTTTCTTGGCCCCTCTTCAGCCAAAGGGGGAGTGTCTGCTGGGGAAACCTTGAAGATGAAATCCACTTTGTCACCTTCTTCCTTCCTGCTTGGGACACTCATGTAATGCCTGGCACTGCACCTGCCATCTTATCACCATGAGAGCCAGGAGGAGGAAAAGCTAACACAGAGAGGATGACAATGAAGAAAGATAGAAAGAGGTTAAATGTCACGTGACATCATGGAAACCTGGACAAAGGCACAGAACCACAAACCACCCGATCCTTGTGAAGAAGCAATTCATAATCCTTCTGGGAGGAGCTCCTGCTGGCTGGGTATTTATCCTTCCAGAGCTGAAACCTCCTAAGCAATACAGGTACTATTTTACCTTCATTTTATTTTAACTATGCAAGTAATATTTAATAATTGGCCAAAATGTAAAAAAGGATAATAAGAAAACCCCAATCAATTCGAATCTCATCATGTTTACATATTACATTGTTTCTATTCTGAGTGTTCACAATTCATGTTTTATTAATTCTCTTCTCCATGACAAAGCAGGAAATAGGCTTAGTCTCTGGCCTATCTCCTTAATCCCTCTCTTTTCCAAATTCTCCAACTCCAAAATTAGAAAGCACATCACCTTAAAACAAACCCAACAGGTTAACTTTTAAAATCCTCGTCTGATGGATGTCATCCAGCATGGTGCTAATATTCTGGGAGTGTCCAGCATGCAGGGGTCACCCATTAGCTGTTTGTAGGTTGATTAAGTAGCACATTAGATTGTTAGTTATTTCCAAGAATAAGGCTGGAGTCTGCTTACACTTACAGAAAGTCACTTTGCTTATCTCTTGAGTTGCTAGCACAATCTCTTTAGAGGGTTGGCGTGCTGAAAGGACCACTATTTAATAGTCTGATAATCCAGTCACACTGACAGGCAAACCTTCAGAAAGACAAAAATCTCCTGGCACTAGGAGTTAGCTCTGAATAGCAATTAATTCCCATACACGAGGCTTTTCAGAGACCTGTGAACTACACAAAGGAATGAGGCTCTGTGCTGATAAGAAGGTCCTTTTCTGTCAATCAGGTGACCTTGCCAGGAAGTTGAGATATACACTGACAAAACTGGGAATATTTGATTTTTTTAATAAAACATATAAACAAGCACAGAAGAATTAAAAAGGAATTTTAAAGAATTGCCTTCAAGATGCTTTTGATGACAAACTCAAAATATGTTACTACCAAAAGATATTCAACCCTTTTAATATAAATTCACCAATCCTATATGATCAAGTTACACCATCTGACCTCATTTAATCTAATGAATTCCTTAGAAGCATCATCTCCAAATACAGCCACAGGGAGTTTAGGGCTTCAACATATGAATTGTGGGGAAATGCAAACACATAGCACATAACATTGAATCACCAGAAATCTTGTTGTGACTAAGCATTGATGAAAACCAAATCCTTCACTGATAGTTTTATACCTCTGATGATTGGAGGGACAATTATAGACAAGTTTCTCCCTCCATTCATTTCAAAACTTGTTTCTCTTGCACTATTCACATCATGCTCACTTCTAGAACAAGCTCATATCAGGAAACAAACCTTGACCCATCACCTTGAGTGGGTTGACACAGTGGGGAAGAATTACTCCTGAAAGTTCTCCCTACAGCAAGACAGCGAGCCGTAACTATACTGAGAATTGAATTCGGCCATGTAAATGCATCCCACTAAATCCAGACAACTGTGCACCCAACTCAAAGAACGTTTAGCCATATGGCAAACATGCCTGCAGCCACTGGACCATTATGCAACTCGGGGATGCATGACAGAGGATAAATTATTAGGTTGGTGCAAAAGTCATTAAGATTTTTGCCACCGAACGTAATAATAAAAGCCACAAGGACTTTTGCACCAACCTAATAGAACAAAGGTCTTGGTGGGTTGTAATGAAAGCGTCTTTTGCATGTCACAGAATGAACACGTGGCCAGCCCTTCTTCCTGAGGACTGGAAGATCT